CTAAACCCCATTTTTCACGAGCTTTCATTTGGTATAAAATTCATGATATCTCCGATTCGAGATCATAGTGTTACCCCCCTGGAATAATATTATTTACCACCCTGTATATGATTCAAAACCATTCTGATCTAGTTGCAACGTGTTGATTCCATGCTTGATAATCGTATTAACTAAACTTGCACCAAACTAATATAAAAGACAAACAATATAGAGAAAATCAATATCTTCATCTTACATTTTTGTTTCCTGTTGTCTCATAATCATGAATACATGCAGCTAAACTGCTTTCGTGTATATTCATATCGATTGCAATACCGAGTTCAGTAGCTGCTCGATTACTTGCGGTTAAATATTCTTCACAAATTTGTCTTGACAAAGTATTCTTATTAAATTGTTGAAAAAGTTTTTGTTTTTGTTCAATACTGTTTTCAAGTTCACAATCGTCTATTGGTGGCATCACACAGAGACCACTAGATTGACGAATCAATTCGTAAGGCATACGCACTGTTATATCATACCAACAAAACTATACAAAAAGAGTGAATGGATAAATGAAATGATTTATTGAGCATCAGCTATTTACATCATATTGATGCATTTTAACAGAAATATGCAGATCAGCAGCTGCATATAGAATATCAATTAGCCCTGTCTCTGGACGAGTTAGTTTAATATCTGTTTCATAAAATATTGCAAGATGAGGTATTAATATGAATTTGTTCATCTTACCTGGACTATTACATGTTTGTTGGTGATTAGCAATTGCACAGAGAATTGTGTTATTCTCTTTGAAAAATGTAATATTAAACTAGTTATTAAAATACAAATGTTTTATTTTAGTTTTGAGAATTTTCATATTTACTTCGTCGATTCGCCAATCTTGTTCATGTACAGTTACAAAAAGTTGAACAAAATTATTTAGTAACATGCGACGTTCACCAGGTGTTTTACACCAGTATTGATGTTGAACCGCTTCGGGTCGTTGCCCAAAGACAAGAATATGAGGATCGCCGTAGAAATTACATAGACCCTTTCTCCCAGAAGCTCTTGATGTGGTAGTCATGATCGTAGTTACAGGTGCATTTGAATCGGTGGTTATCTTGGTACTAGCGGACGTAGTTGTGGATTCCATGATGACTGTGTTAGTAGTCACAGTAGTAGCAGCTAAGAGAATTATTGTGAAGTGTAAATATATTGATAATATCTAGGCATATACCCACTTTCTGGTGTTGTGGTGGTTGATGTTGTTGTTGTGTCGAGAGTAATATTTTCTGATAGAATAAATTGTTCGATAATTGTCGAAGAATTAGCAACGGCAGTCTCTAAAACCACTGCACTTTGTTCAAACAATATGTTTTGCTGCTCTTCAGAAACATTTCTTGTCGCAACAGTATCAAATATAGATAATTGTAGTATACTGTTGGCAAACTGTGAATAAACGAATGTTATCTATATTCATTTTTTATTTCGACTTTTACCCGCCTATCACCAGATAATTCAAGATCATTGATACAGGATATCATTGCAATATCTTCCATTGTTTGACTGATCGGTGGTAAACCTAACTGTGCTACTGATTGTCGTGCTGATTGGCGAGCACGTTCACAGATTTCTTGAGCATGAGTGTTAACAAAAATTTGTTCTGGTGTTGGATTTCTTACACTTAATACATTTCGCTTTCGATTATAGTCACGATATGCTGCTGGTCTTTCTAATTCACAGCTATCTGCCCCCGCGACGCATAATCCACTCGATTGACGAATAATAGCGAAATTCTTCTGGGTTAAGTTGATATCATAATACGATGCCTATCAGGAAGGAGAAAATAGAATTATTCCATCTTAAGGATATACTTCAATAATTTAACTGACATGTGCATTGCGGACGATAATTATACGTAAAGAGGCAGCTGGATATTTGATGTCAGTCGTCGAATCGATAGTTTTCATATAGATCTCTATACATGATTACAGTACTAAATATAATAAGAAATAAAAACGTTTACCTGGATAATTGCATACATTGTGATTAGTGCTAATCGTGCATAAAGTTTCATCACCATCGAAAAGGATAATCTTAAACTAAGTAAAATAGAAAATAGTGAAAATTATCGATGATTAGCTTAGGTGAGTAACAATTGCTTTTTCATTTATTTACTTTTTCCATCCAAAATGGTGTTTCTGTAACGGTGATAGTGAAACGAATCCATTTATTTTTATAAAGAAGATGTTCGCCTTGTCCCTTACACCACCACAATGGTCGATCTTGATCCGGTCGCTGACCAAACGGATACAAATGTGGATCACCATATATATGACAGATGCCTTCTGCTTCTTCATCATTGCCTTTGACTGTAAGAGCTCGATCTAAATGTTAATATCGTTTGTATAATGTAATACTGTATATTTAATGCAGTCTATCATATATGAGCACTTGAAAGTATTAAATAGCCAATAGATTCGAGGCATTCTGGCAATTATTTCCAGAACGCCACGAAAATTCTTTTCCCATTGAGACCACTATTTGTAGTGGCTCAAATTAAGTTGACTCTATTCACATAGGGATATCGCTCACCTCGTGAATCAACATACTGTACGACTTGGTATATATGTAACACACAAACATTCATTTTTGACATGTCCTTCTGTTTTTATCTTATAATCCTTATCGTACCTTCGCGTAAAACAGAAAAACATTCCAAAACAGATGTAAAAAAACATTGTGAAATATTTTTGTAAAAAATTGTTTTTTTTTAAACAATTTTGCTTAATTTGAAAAATATTTATCTGTATATCCGACCAAGACTGACATTCAATCTATAGTCATATACTTTTTTTTCTTACGAAAAGATATATTGTCCAGTTACTTACGAATAAAGCTTTTAAAATTCTAAATTCAATGAATTCATTGAAGTAAAATAAAAATTGCATGGAAAATATAAGATTCTAAAACTCATGTCTCGAAAATAAAAATAGATCGTGAAATATAATTTAAAACAATGTTACCATTATTTATTAGACACAAAAAAACCAAAAAAAAGTCCACGATTGTTATTCTTCGTAGTAGAGACGCCATGCATCAAATTTTTTTAATAAATCGCTTTATGTAGCACACTAAAAATATCTACAACGTACATTTATATTTATGTGATGTGTATAGATTGTAGGTAATCATTGATATCAGAAAAAGGCAAAAAATCGATTAATTTTTTACAACTTATAATAAAAATAAGTACTGTCGAAAATTCACCGAAAAAGACTTCCTTTTTTATTCTTGTTTCCAACAACGATAAGACGATTACGAAGCATTTATCGCTTGCTATAAGACTCTTTTTACAGAAGCAAAATAGAATCTTTACTATCTAGATTAAGAAGTAAGTAAAAAGTCATGGTGGAGATAAAGAGATTTATGATTCATTACAAGAAGAAATACATGACGGGCCAAAAGTCAATTGGCCAGAAAAAAGTGGTGCATCACCAGTACAAGCTGATTAAACGAGCTGTTTTTCTTCATTGATCAAGGGGTACTTAGAGCTTAAAGGCTTGCCTCTCAAGAGAAAACACTTCTGGTGAAATTTATCGATTTTGTGATATTTGTTGCTCGCTAGACAAAGCAAATTGTCTCCTCTCGAATGCAGTATAATTTATNTTTATGATAAGATTTAAGAGCATTATGTAGGTGTCTTGTCAGTCCTCAGACTGAAGAAAATAGTATTTGTTTCTAAACGTTTGGAGGGTTAAAGTTTTTCAAACTTCTTTGTTGACTTTTGACAATGACAAACATGGCTATCATGTATCGCTAAGTACAATAAGCGAAAAAATCGTTGAACATTAAAAACTACGAACTGGCAAGAAGGCGTAGATGTGGCTGAACTGAAGACTCACGCCCATACTGTCATAAGCATCTATTTGGTTATATCTGTTTATATAGAAAAAAGTCATGAATGTAAAAAACAGTTCTACAACTTAA